TCCTTACTACATGTTAGAGGGTCCTAGAGTAGGACACTGGACCCCAAATCGTTGTCAATGGTCCAGGTTAGCTCTGCCACCAGTGTGAGTGGGTGCTTCAATGGTTGAGAAGTGCTTTGCATAAAAGCGACATCTGAATGCAGACCCTGCTCACGTGGGAAGGTTCTGTTTGTTCAGGAATATTAGAGGAAAAGCTGCAACCAAAGCAAACAATCTAAGCATGTCGCAACATCATGGATGAACGGCATCGATGTAAAAAGTAGAAACTCGTGCTTGTGTGTAATCTTTAGTACAAAGACATGTTGTCTTCTCAAACTCTTGCTGTTCTTGGATATGTAGAAACCGTCAGTGGGGAAAGATGGCAAGAAAAAAACTAGAGATAAAACAAAGCTAGGAGCAAATTCAACAAAAACAAGGATTTGAGATTTTAATAAACAAACGAAAAAGAAAAAGTTAAGTCTATATGAGCCTGTGAATAATCACACTTTAAACCAGCAGACTAAAGAGAGAAGTCAGATAGAATAACTTTCAGTGTTTGGGTTTTCTTTGCTCTCTCTGCGAGTTTGTAATAATGATAGTTCTCCTGCTGAATTTGAAGAACAGCTTTAAAATGTGTTTAAAAATCCAACACCAGTGCATACACAGAGGTATTTGGAGCTTCTGCCTTGGCTCTTTCTTGCTTTTGTCTCCATCCGGTGGAGCTTTCTTGCTCTTCACTCAATCTTAACCTTCATTATCCTTGGCCCACAGGGATAAGGGGTTGACCTAGTAGCACCACTTACTCATCATACTTTTGAGTGAAACATTTCAGTTAAGCAACAACCTGCATTAAATAAACATGAATGAGAATGAACCAAAATCTTGCTGTTTTTTTTAATCCCATTTTTGCTTGTCTCAGTTTTTTAGACCGGTCTGTCTTGTTAGTCCTGCTCCTCTCATGTTGCCTCTAGGCTACAGCATCCTGCTCGGCTATTGTCTTCCTGTTTCTGTACACACAAAGATGCGAACATTCACCAAGATAAATAAACACAAAAACATCCCCCCAACCCATGATTATTTCTGACTTTTCTGTCCTTCACATGGCAGCAACAGCTTTTTTTTTACAACTTTGAAATTCTAATAAAATTCTCAGAGCAGGTTTGGGGTTTGCTGACAGTCCCACAATATATGAATACATTTGTCTTCTTTGTCCCATGCAGTGTGTTTGGTGTCCTAATTTCTGCAGCCTACATGCTCTAGCAGTGGATATACTGTACATCTGAGTAGACTCACACACACACATGCGGAGGCTGCATACATTATTATAAGCTCATCCCTATGGTAAGACAGCTAGAAGTAACAAGGATTTTAAAAAATATACTCCCACAGTCATTTTCTGTGCTATGCTGTGGAAGTAAGGAGATTTTTCACAGGGATGTGGTGCACTAGGCACATATGGGGTCATTTTTTGGTGACTCTTATCATCACTATCTCTTTGAGTAAGCTTGCCTCACAGGACATCTTTTTCTTCATTAAATACGCTGTGTTAAATCCATTGTAGTGTTAATGCTCTTTCTGTAGTCGATTTGATTAATGCAGCTCGAAGAAAATCAATTTTCCACCATCTTTCTCCCTTCATTCATCCCCTCTTCCTGTTGCTATCAGTCCATCTGTGAGCCTGTCATGGTGGCAGCTTTGATGTAATGATTTTCAGGCTGGTTTAAAGCTGTGTTACATGAGTGATTGCATGGACAACTGCATGTACCGCTACTTGCTGGTATGAAAACTTGATTTTCCTGAGGAGTTACAGCCGAGACGGTACCCTGATCTGTTTCAGTATAGTATGTCTGGAAATACTGATGTCTTTGAGTACCAGTGCAGAGAGAAACCTAAACATACAAATTCAGAATCATTATAATTATTTATTTTACTGGTGTGGATCTATCTGAAAACAACTTCATTTGTTTTTCATTAAAATCATTTTCCTACTTCTTCTGTCTTTGTTAGTTGTGCAAAGAGTTGCAGTCGATTGTAGAGCAGCAGTTTTAATGATGCATCAGGCCACGGTATCGATTGAACAGCTGCAGTTTTACACTTTTGCATTCACACTGGTGTTTTAATGCATCAGAGTCATATACAAATTTTGATTACCCAAAATATAAAGAAGATTTACCATCATGCCCTTAGAAAGCTGTGAGATTCATATGAGCATCTGTTAATCTGTCCAAGGGGAGTTATCAGTTGCATTAAGGCATCATCAATGGGATGCGTGACTGCAATACAGCACCATCCCTTAGGCAAAAACATTGGCAGGAAGCACATTGTGTTTCAAGTACTTGTATTTGTTTTTATAAAACTGTAACAAAAGTTGCAGAAAATAAGGCAAGGACAAGTTTTAAAATCGAACTGTGGAGAACCCTTCACTCCCTGAGGCGTGAAAGACAATTGGATTATGCCCTGGGTCAGTGAGTGGAGTAGACGGGCCAGCTGGTCCATATTACCTCTGGGTTTAACCCCTTTCTAATGCATCATTAAGATTGACTGTCTGTCCTAGCCTCTAAATTGAGGTTATTGGTCTTAATCCAGTGCACTGATAAACTCCTAATATGCTACACAGTTTGGACATGCAGCATGTCTCGCCCTATGCCTCAAAGACCTCATTTATATTTATGACAACCTCGGCTCTCCATTCCTGATTAATCCCCTTAATATTGGGACGCAGATCCGTAAATCTCTCCCTGCCTCAGTGGAGAGAGTAGGAACGCCAGGGACGTGAAAAGAATGTCAATTCTGAAATATGAAATATGAAAAAAAAAGATGCACCTGAACACCGGCACTGCTTCAATCCTTCAATCCTTGCACTTGTCCGAAGAAAAAACTCCCAGTTGTTCAGCAGTTGATGACAGACACAGACGGCTGTAGATTATTATTGTACCCCTACAGCACATCCTAAGAGGATTGGTTTAAGTCATGAGCAAGCTATTGAGTGCTGATGATTATGAGCCTCTCTCTTTTTTTTTTTTTACAGAGAAACAGATCCTGACAGACAGACTCATTCTGAGTCAGAGATTAGCTTGTCATCAGAGAATATGTGCTGCTTAAATCCCTCTGAGGAGTTCAGAGTTTTCCTCGTCTTTGCTGGGAGCTGGACAACACACAATGGAGGGAAAATTCTCTTTTTGAATTTTGAAAGCTCACATGCAGAGAAACCAGCATCACAGAGGTTTGATTTATTTAATGGCTGTGAGTGGTTATTCATTTCACGACTCACTTTTACTGCTGCAGGCTGTAGTCCCGAGGTGAGAAGTTTCATAGCTGTCATGTTTGTATGTTTATGTTTCTCTGATTACAAGGTGCCTACTTCTTTCTAGAGGTGTCTGACAGATGTAGTCTCATCTCCTCTATCTTTTTTTATTTCTTGGTGATGACAAATGAACCTCTGTCCTTGAATACTCCTGAGAGCCCCTCCCTCCACCTTGACTCATCCCTCTTTCTTCTCTGCTCTCCTTGAGATGGCCACAGATGAGGGAATATGGCCCAATGATCCTGGAAACATCTGTTATGGGTCATAGTTTTTACACACATGCACACCACATGCACACATAACATTTCTTTCTTATGGCTTGATCACTATGACAACACAGACTATTAGTCATCTCCACGATGGTACCAAGACCTTTATATGGCTGTAAAGCTTTCTCTCAATAGAGAGCGGAAAAGGGTATTGAGTCACTGAAAGGGCAAACATATGGGCTACACTTGAATATGAATGAAACATTTCATGACGATTGTTATACTGAGTGTTTAAGTAATGATAGGACACCAAAAACAGATCTACAGACAAGTGGTGATAAAATTGAGCTCAGTAATAGTCAAATGATCCATTTCAGTAAGGCTGACAGAACCTACTTAGTTAACTAAAACTGGAGCACTTTAGGAAAGATTTACAACATGTACAAGTCATCAGGAACAGTTGAAGCCGTATAGTTTTTGTTTCCTTTTACTGTCTAGATATTTACTTTATATTTTATCCAAAATAAAAGAGATAAATGTCACAAAGTATATTTTTAACTTGCTTTCCCTTCATGTAAAACACCCACCGGCATGTTAAAGTGTATGTGCATCAAAACCAGAGTTTTCAATCTCTGTTTGCATAACAAGTTTCATAAAGCACATATTTAATGCTAACAGTATTCAAAAACACACGTGACATGAATGTGACTACCAAGAAACCACAAGGACTCGGGGGATCAAGATGTGATTCTAGTTTACTGATTTACTGGAAAAAGGGGTTGAATTGATATTCACAAAAACTGTGTCTGTTTCTCGTGTGGCTTAAAAAAACTCGATGGTGATTCATGTGGGATGAACAGGTGAGAAGAAAAGCAAGACAGTCTCCGTTCACTGCGCACCACAGTCATCTTTTTCCACGTGACAGATCATTACAGCTCTGATGGGCAGCAGATGGTGATGAATTGGCACTGAAACCCATGCTGGACAATTTCGGAGGCAGTCAACTGCACAAACTGCTATATCACTGTTCTACATGATGGAGCTATTCTGTGAGTGCCAGACACAGACAGTCCTCTGCTCATCTGATATAACTCCTCCCATTTCAGCAGAGAGTTGACACCACAGGGATAATCTTTGGGCTTGTTGCTCAGCGCAAACACAGATGTTTGTTCTGATAAGAATTTTCACAACTCACAAGACACTGACTAATATCTGGCATATGGTAACTTTTGAGAGTCTAACTTCACACCATAATTATTTAAGCAATCAATCTTCTTAGTTTCTCATAGTGCAGGAATATGACGCTCTGTCATTCACAAATAAAAACAAGTGAGTAGATACTTTTTATTTGACTTTGAACCAATGCTGTCATCTGGTGGTCTAAATGTGTAAAAGCTCTATTCTTTGCAACAAAACCCAGGATGCTTGCTGTAAAACTCCTGTGAGAAAGGGAAAAAACATTGGACACATAGACAGTTTTTATTTTTATTTCCTTTTTTTTTGCTATCATTGCTTAGGAGAATACCTCGAAATTCTTTCTTTCTACATTGTACAAAAACGTTTAAAAAAATGGGAGTATATGTATATGGGAGTAAAGACTAAAAAGCAAAAATTAAGAAGGGTGGGTTAGATGTATAACAATACCATCCCATTCTTGCTGGTGTCTTCATATCTCTGACAGTCAGTTATTAAAGGTTAATCAGTCTGCAATACAAAAAAGTCCTAATTGATATACTCCTCCTATATGACCCATCATGCTTAGAGAGTGTTCAGCAGAGTAATATCATGTTGCAGAGCAACTTAAACCCATATTAAGAGTAACACTATACCTACTCTTTATAATCACTGTAATCTTTGGCTTATGCCTGACTCTCCCAGGACCCAGTTATTTGCATCTGCAGGATTACCTCAACCACATGAGGCTACGTCACAAAACAGGTTAACTTGAAACCTTGCTAGATTTTTTTCTTTGCCAACACCAGCTTATATTGCGATATGGATTCATAGACATTAATCATGTAGATCTGATCTTCTCTGGCAGAAAAATGACCTCTTCCGTACTGTTAGAAACCACGTTATGGAAACACTCGAGAGGATGGCTCATACAGAAAGAAAACACCTGAACCCTTAACACTGAAGAAAGTTTAAAAACTAATGGTTTTTCTACCTGCTACAAATCTTTATTTGTGGCAAAATTACAAAAGATAAGTGAAAGACCCTATCATCATCTGTGAGGGAGTGAGGTTTAGCAAAATTAAGTTTTAAGAGAACTTTTAATGACTTATCTTTGGCTTTAGTCATGCCAATTCAATTTTCTTTGTCTTATTATTTGATAAAACTTAGTAATCACAAATAATCCTCTAACCCTGAGTCTTTACACTGTTGTTTTCTGACATCCAAATGTTTTTCTTTTGAGAATTGTTTTGAGCCGAGTGAAGGATTGAGTTATTTATTTTAGAGAACTAAAGCTAGTCCATGGTATAGAAAATTCTAAGCATAGTTAAACATTTAATACACACATTTCAATCACTAAAAACACTAACCATGTCCTTCAAAGAAGCAGATAAAATGTTGATATTTATTTTCTGCTTTATTTTTACTTTGAGGGTGTTTTTCATTTATTTATTTTTTATCATATCACCATGTTCTTTAAAAGTTGGGCATTTGTAAATGACCAGCATACCAGTGATGTTATTTAAAAACAAAACAAAAAACACCAGCTTTTCTTCATTCTCGCCCACTACCTCCTCCATAGATACATACATACGCATCTGCTTCATGAACTGAAATAATGTAATTTAGCAAAAATTATTCGCAAAACGACATTATATTGAAAAGATAGAATGCTGACATTGTGTATTTGGGGTTTATAAGTGGTGCTTACCTGGCTTATGTTGACCAGCAGATGTCACTGCGTACATTATAGATATGCCCCAGAAATAACCACAGTGAGGACATTTTCACAGCTCGTATGCCAATACCACACCAAAAAGACTCAGAAGACGCCTGCAGACCAAGTTAGGAATTCCGGTACAAACCCTGAAAGAGTTAAGGATAAGTATGCATTTGTGTAAACTTTATTCTTTGTGTCTCTTCTTGCTTTGGACTTACTACAAGTCCCGCCATTCCTTGTCAGGATCGCCCACCCACTTTCAACGACGGGTTGAGCTTCTGTCCAATCGTGGTTCTCAATGTCATGATTGACGTGTCATCTACGAGCTGCCATTGGTTTCTATGTGGTTTCCAGGAAGTGAACGCCACTGTTCTAACCACCTCCTACATGTGAGCCCCATCCATAGCACCACGCGCGGCGTGTGGAGGAGAGAGAAACCGGTCGGGAAGGCAACGTCACTCCTCGGACCACTGATTTGACGTAGTGCAGCGGATAGACAGCGGAGCGGAGCGGCGTTGTCCGAGGCAGGTACCGTACCGGTTCCGTTTACACCAATAGATAAACAGGCTTAAAAGCCGACACTTGGGTTATCCCAGGAAAGCGGCGGAAAAGTAGGTCGTATTAGGTAAGAACAGGGTGGACACTAGGGCCTGGCAGATTGTAGGCCTGCTATTCTCCACGCACTGTACTGACAGAAGCAGCCCAGGCAGAGTCTTTTCCTCTCGGTCAGTCCAGCTGCCAGATCTGGTCAGGTGCCTTAACGGACACCGCGCCACTGGTTTGAAGAGGTATTAAGTCCAGCAAGTCAAGATGAATATTTCATGAGCTCTTCTGTCTAGTCGGTTTGGTTAGTGCCAGGTTTACCGCAAATGTTATGCTTTTCTTTTTACGCCTTTTCAGGTGCTGAAGCGATTACAGCAGAAAGATGGCGGACGACCCTAGCGCGGCGGACAGGAACGTGGAGATATGGAAAATCAAGAAGCTGATCAAAAGTTTGGAAGCTGCCCGCGGGTAAGTGATCGATATGAGCGGAGTGTCGGTGCCGTGGCAAGGCAAAATGTTGTTTGTTTTATGGCTTTGGTTGATGATGGAAATGTTGACCGCCGCAACAGCTGGAGATCGGATAAGTGGGGCCGAATTTGGGAGTGGTTAGCTTAGCATAGCTAACTTTGCTTACCGTTACTTTTGCTGCCAGCTAGCAGCTAACTGCTAAACGTTAGCGTGAACTGCCGCCGCATGTAGCCTACCTGAAGCTTTGTGGTGCTGTGTTTATTGAGACAAAAGCTCATTTTTTATACTTTAACGTGTATGTGTCGTTAGTCACATAAGGTAGGATGCTGTCTTGAGTCTTGTAAAGGTAGAGCGACGGTAAGGTTTGTGCTAGCTGTGTTTTCAGGGAGCTAACAGACGTCATTTCAGAAAGAGGCCGCCATGGGTGTCTTTAACAAGAAAGCACGTTGATGAGAAAGGAAGGCCGGCTAGCTTACAGCTGGGCTTCCACATGATCCGGCGGATTAATGCTAAGACTTTAAATTACGTTTAGCAGGCCTTTGTTCGTGTATGTGATAGAGCTCTTTATTTCCCAAAGAGTCTTCTTGCTCAGTTGCCTCATGGCAAACGCGGGTCTCGATGTGACATTACAGCGTTATTGGCTATCAAATAGCCCACTGTAATGATCACGGCAGAGATCGTTCGCTTCACACGACATGTGAATTACGGGAGTTGTTGAATTGGCTTACAGCTTTCTCTACGTCAGCTTGCTGTATAGTCCTGCGCAGAATTTGCTGCCCTGTGCTGTACCGCCTGCCATGTCACAGTTGACCATTTGCCCTATATTCTTCCAGCTGCTGCTACCTGCCCGGTTGCCTATTTGTGTGTGTGTGTGTGTGTGTGTGTGTGTGTGTGTGTGTGTGTGTGTGTGTGTGTGTGTGTGTGTGTGTGTGTGTGTGCAGTGTCAGCTAGTGCTGGTATGCTTTGTCTTGATAGATACTGAATGAACTGACATTGTGGAGCAGAACAACTCAGTCCTCAGCTTCAAGGGCAGAGATTGTATATTGAGTGGCTAAAAGCTTGTCTTATTTGTCCCTCAACCTTTAGCCCTGGTCAAGGTGATATATTGCAAGGGACGGTTGTTTGTTTTCAAAGTTCTGTGAAATTAAAATAAGAGCTCATTTAAGAAACTGTAGTTCAAGTTTCAAACAATCAAGATTGATGTTGCCCAACCATGTCGGAGTCATTCTGATACAGCTTAGAGTAACATTGTTTTGGAAATGTCTTGTGTTTATGTCAACAGTAATAGAAATGTTTCTCTCTCTATAGCAATGGCACCAGTATGATCTCACTGATCATCCCTCCAAAGGACCAGATATCTAGAGTGGCCAAGATGTTGGCTGATGAGTTTGGTACTGCTTCCAACATCAAGAGCCGAGTCAACAGGCTCTCAGTGCTCGGGGCCATCACTTCTGTACAGCAAAGACTAAAACTCTACAACAAAGGTATGTTTCAGTTAAGACTTACACATGCTCGTTTATGTAGAAGATGCACATCAGTACAGTAGCTCATCTGGAAAGATGGAATCATTATCAGGACGCCTTTTACAGTAAAATTATTCTAATGTTGCAAGTGAAGCTATTTAGATAGACAAATGTGTTTGACATTTTGTGAGATGTGACTGATATAGAGTTGTGGCCATAAAAAAGCTGCTAAGTGAACTTGAATATTAGGGGTTTGCTCAAAAAAAGTGTGCTTTATCTCCTTAAGTATTATTGTTTCTTTAACAGCAAGTTTAAACTGAAGGGGAAATCATCTATATGCGATTGTACCTCATCTTTCCCAGCATATACTTGTTTAATGTGTGGTGAACTGTGCACTGTCTTGTAGCTTGGGACCAGAAAGTAAAATCAAGGCCCTTGTTTAACTAGTGAAGGGTGTGGTGGTCATAGCATTGAATTGTTTAGAGAGTATGTGATACAGCTGTGCACTAACGGTCTCCACACTGCCAGTACATACACTTGTATCATTACCTAAGACTGGAGAGAGGAAAACGCAGGGGGAAGTCTTAGCCTACAGAAAGATTTTGTTTTTTTTTTTAGAACAAACAGAAACATGAGCAGTAATACGTTTTATAACTGTGTTTGCTCCACTTTTATAAACTCAGAAGAGTGGTTTGACTAATCTTTTGGCCTCTTAATATTCTCTCTTGCTAGTGCCACCCAATGGCTTGGTTGTGTACTGTGGCACCATCGTGACAGAGGAAGGCAAGGAGAAGAAAGTCAATATCGACTTTGAGCCTTTTAAACCAATCAACACCTCCCTGTATCTCTGTGACAACAAGTTCCACACCGAGGTGAGAACTTCTGCCTGGTTTCCCATGACTGTTTACACATGTTTTCCTGTGGGAAAGATTCTTTGGTTCTATAATAGTTGCCCTCTGACGTAATTGTAATCCACTGTTCTTCTTCCTCTCTCCATTAACTCAGGCATTGACAGCCCTGCTCTCTGATGACAGTAAGTTTGGCTTTATTGTGATCGACGGTAGTGGGGCACTGTTTGGCACACTGCAGGGCAACACGAGGGAGGTGCTGCACAAGTTCACTGTGGACCTACCCAAGAAACACGGTACTAACTCACACAAAACTGAGCTTTTGATATTTTTCAACTACACCACAGGGATCGTTACAGAATCAGTTTTATATCGCTCAATGTGTACAAAGTTCCTTTTTTGTCTGCTAATAACAGTCTCTCTTATCTCTCTCTCTCTCCCTTTCAGGCAGAGGAGGGCAGTCTGCTCTGCGTTTCGCTCGTCTGAGAATGGAGAAGAGACACAACTATGTGAGAAAAGTGGCTGAGACGGCTGTCCAGCTTTTTGTGTCCAATGACAAGGTTAATGTGGCTGGAATGGTCTTAGCTGGATCTGCGGACTTCAAGACAGAACTCAGTCAGTCTGACATGTTTGACCCAGTAAGTCTTTCTCTGAGTATGCTGTGTCATCAATAATCTTGTTTACTTCCAAAATGTCATGAACTGTTTCATTTTAATGTCAACAAATCAGGAAGTAGGCCATTAAACCGTTCAGAATCTGTGTTTGCACAGGCAAACTGCCACTTCAGGAAATACACAACCATAAAAACAGGTTTTAGTCAGTTCAACCAAATGTACTTGGAACCCGGATTTTGTGATTTTCACAACAAATACTTTGAAATAAATTGTCTGTGATGCTTAAAAGAGATGAAGGCCATAGTTAAGTAGTTTAAAGTACCTACTTGAGTTTGACCACAAGCAGGTCATAATCAGCTGTAAATTTTGTCTCAAGTCTGCAATCTATAAGCAGCTATATATTTCTGCTCCTCAAACAAAGATTTCTGTGCTCGTATGTTTTTGAACTCTGGCTATACTGTACATAGCCTAACATTAAGTAATAGCACATCCTTTAACCCACTGTGTAAAGCTCTCCTTATTAAGTGCAGGTCAGTTACAACAGTTACATTATGTTTATGACTCTTGGTTGACTTATACCACAATTTGAAACACAACATTAGTATCCTTTACAGTAGTTATTCGGTTTATACCCGTCATATGTTTCATAAAAAAATGTATGAAACACTATTTGATTGCCATTTTAATTTCTTTCGTTGAAACATTAAAAAATATGCAGTTGTTTAAAGGTATATCTGTAAGTACACAATATGCTGAAATATGCTGAATTTTCGCAGTAGAATATCTCAATAAAAAACTAAATAAAGTGAACTGTAAGCCTCTCACATTGACAGTCTTAACTCTTAATGGTGGCTACACCCAGTATGCACTTTGTCAAGTTTTAATACCAAGATGTAGCTTTTAACTCACTGGTTTATGGGAAACTTGGGAGTTCTGTTTATATCAAGAATGGTTATAACCATAATTACGCTAATCCTGTGTGTAGTCATTTCAACAGTGCATCTCACAAGAGTGTGTGTGTGTTTGTGTCTTGCAGAGGTTACAAGCCAAGGTTCTGAAGCTGGTGGACATCTCATATGGAGGAGAGAATGGTTTTAACCAGGCTATCGAGCTGTCAGCAGAGGTCCTCTCTAATGTCAAGTTTATCCAGGAGAAGAAGCTCATAGGTTAGTTCTTTGGTTGATTACAGTGTATGTATGAACAACCATGTTTAGGTGTCGCCAGCTACAGGATATAAAAACTACAGTTTCAGAGGTTTGTTTTTTTCCCCACTCTTTACAGGGCGGTACTTCGATGAGATCAGTCAGGACACAGGGAAGTACTGTTTTGGTGTAGAGGACACACTCAAAGCCCTGGAGATGGGAGCTGTGGAGATCCTCATAGTCTACGAGAACTTAGACACAATGCGATACATTCTTAGAGTGCATGGGGCAGAGAGCAACGGAGCGGAAAACGGTACATTTGTGCAACTATTCAATTACTGAGAAAGACCATTAAAGTTATATTGTAATGCTATAACCTTTATGTCTCTCCTTTGGTTATTAGATGAAAAAACTTTGTACTTAACGCCAGAGCAAGAGAAAGACAAGTCCCACTTCACAGACAAGGAGGTGAGTACCACCAGGAAAAAAAGGACTAATTTCTGTGAATTAGGTCAGGTCCATTACCTATCGTAGCACATGTCCCTGACTCTGCTTGTGTTGGTAGACGGGGCAGGAACACGAGCTGATAGAGAGCATGCCACTGCTGGAGTGGTTTGCCAACAACTACAAGAAATTTGGAGCCACATTGGAGATAGTCACAGACAAGAGCCAGGAAGGTTCCCAGTTCGTCAAGGGCTTTGGAGGCATTGGGGGTGAGTACAGCAGAATTGTACATTTGTTAAGTGTAAAGTTAAGAAGTTGGTTCAAACCATCAAGTATCCTTGGGTATTTGGGATTGTCTCTTTCTGCAATCTGTGATGGTGTATTAAATATACCTGTCCTCTAAATTATTGTCCACATAATGAGAAAACAAGTATTTTGCATAGAAATATGTTGATGCAATTCTACAGATGGTTTACAAGCTGCTCAATCTAAATTAATTTTATGATGAGATCAGCACCACTAAGGACATTGATAGCCAGCGCCGTGTAAATTCAAGAATGTCACAACCTATTTATAGTTATTGGCTTTATTTCACAGACTGGAGATCAAAACCTTAACATATCCAGTTTGTGGCTGGGATCCTTCTGCTTTAAGGAAGCATTTTAACAATTTAGAAACAAAGTGTTGTTTAAATCTATTCTCGGCTTCAGCACAAAGAAATAATGAATCCCTGCACTTTAATTAAATAGGGTAATTGTTGTGAGGCGGGCTCTTCATCTTGATTTTGATGTAGCAGAGGGGGAAATGTACCGTCTTTATGTCCTTCAATCACTCTGAAAGGGAGATGAGGGAATCAGGTGAAATGAAGGCAAATTTAAAACGACCTAAATTCCTTAGGGTACTGTTCTCTATTTGCACCTAATGCTTTCCTCCTATCTCAGCATGGGAAGACCCTATGAATCCCTGTGATCAACAATATTAAATATTCTTTCATAACTGTTGAAGGCTAAATGATTTAGTTATTTATCCCGGAGCACTTATAAATGATCTTTATAGTGTTGGATGTGAACATCCAAATATTGTAAAATTGATGTGGCGCTCTCCTTAAGACAGGTTCGGTTTTTGGTAATGTTGAGTTCTTGTCCTGTCAGCGGTAAACCAAGTAGAATCTTTCACTTGTTTATTTTTGAACAAGCAAGCGGCAAAATGATCAGAGGAACTATTTACTGAAGAGAAAAAAAGAAGGAACAATCCCTGCTTTTTTTCTATTAAATAAAAAGTTAATTTTGTCCTTGTGGTTGTGTGTAGTCCCAGAAGCCTTATTTCGATCGAATCTCCCTTGACAACTGAAGAGGTTCAGCTCATTTTGATATAATTAAATTTTTTCAACCACTTATTTGTTAATCTGCTGTTTTTGTATTCCTCAGGTATCTTGCGGTACAGGGTGGACTTCCAGGGCATGGAGTACCAAGGAGAGGACGATGAGTTCTTTGATTTGGATGACTACTAGGTAGTCGGGGACTGATACTGGGAGAAAAAAAGAAAAGCAAAGGAATGAATGAAGATTTAAGGAAAGAAAAATGCCACCTCTCGTGCAGCAAGTGAGAGGTGCAACCGTGTTGACCATATATATGACAGACACACCTTCCAATTTACCTGTTGCACACACAAACTTGCACATACATTTCATCTGTACACAAAACAAAGTACATCACACAGGCTGAAGAGGAGTGAGATTTTCTTTCATCCAGAGAGGGAAAAAGCCCTTCCTGAATAAATCCCTGCCTTAGAGTGCTGGTTCCTTCCCCTAGTTGGATTGGACTTGACTCATTTTTGTTCCTTTTTTTTTCTCCTCCCCTCCATTTTGAATGAACACAACAGCAAGTTCCCAGATTCCTCGCTGCCCCCAACCTGGTCTGAAGATAAACTTTGGACTTACTCTTCACATATAGAAAATATATTTTCCTTTCTTGGCTCATCATGACCCTACCCTACATCTCTCCTCTCCCTTCTATGCTTTCTCTCTCTTTTTTTTTTCTTTCTTTTTTTTTTTTTTTTTTTTTTTGCATTTCATTTTTTTACTGGTAACTGCTGCTGTTGTATTTTATGAGAGTGGGGGATTTTTTTTACCTGGGTTTCTGTAGAGAAAGGGGGACAAAGTATTAAATTTGAACTGCTGAAAACCATTGATACCTCCTCATCTGCTGTTGTCTCAGTCCTGTGCTGTGTCTTGTTTGTGGAGGGCCTGACCTTTTCTCTACTTTCCTTACTTCAGTTGAATCTTTACTGCGATAGTCATCTGTCACAGTGTGCATGGCTTCTGTCAGGAGTTTCTACAGTGTACAAGAATCATCAGGATCCACTCATGTTGTAATGAACATCGTTTTTATGAAGCAAGATTATTGAGGTGCATCTGAATCACATATTGTTAATTCTAAAGTTTTGTAGAACTTGAAACCCATTTGCAAGATTTTAAATGACACATTTGATTTCATTGAATTCTGAATTGAATTATGCAATTTGTGGATGCGGTCCTGAAAGTACTGTCACATATGGAATACTCCAATGGGCTAAAAATGTATTATTTAAGATAAAGGTGAGTCTTCATTCATAATGTGTCTTTGGCAAGGAAATGTTAGGGTAAGGGTCTACTCAGGAAGACTTGAGACTTTTTTAAATGAAATAAAAACCCCAACTTTATAAAATACATGTAGATTAAAGGTACAATATTAAGACGAAAACCTGTGCCAAGAGATTGTTTATTTAATCATTTGACTGCAAAAGAGTATTAAATGAAAATCTGTACCTTACAGTATGAAAACTTTTCTAAAGACAACGTTTCAACTGTTGGCACTTGGAGTTGTGAAGAAACCAGCATAAACCTCACCAGACGATGAAAGCCATACTCCGGCAGTGACAGGGAATAACACTGACAGAGGTCATCTAAGGTGAGATGGTTGTGTGGATTAAGGTGTACGTGAGTGCTGGATTGAGCGTTGTTTCTGGAGCACGTCTCGAAGAAATTGGAAATAATGTAGACTGGTTATTAACCCAAGCTGTAATATTCGGTTTGAGGTTTTCACAAACAGACCATGCATAATTAACCAGCCCTCTGACAGATAAACCCGGTGATACAATAACGTTAATTTTATCTGTTTACTTAAATTGAACAGTTGAATCCATCCAATCTGCCCCAACCCGTCCAGATTGTTTTGATGTCGATTGATGATGTCCTGAAACAACCTGAGCGTCTTGTGAAAAGTGCTACCAGAGACACCACACAGCCCCGCATCGTGACTTCTGTTTGCTTCTGTCATTTTGCATCTGAAAACAAACATTTCTTTTAGCCGCACGTAAGATTTGAAAAACAGTCAAGATCCTGCTGCATCACAAAGCAGAGCTATGCGGATGATTGATTTCGCTTTAGCGTATTCCTCTTCAGGATAGCAACAGCATCTTCATCCATTTGCCCTTTTGTTTGGGGGAGTCACCGGGGAAGCCTTGGTAGCACGTACAGCCAATCAATAAAAGGCAAAACTGCGAAACCCCGCCCCTTTGACAAAATCTGACGAATCAGAGCCTTCGTTCTTTGCATGGGCGTTCCCATCCCCCACCCACCCTTTTGACACTGCCCTCCCGAAGCTGTGTGGTTGAGCGAAGTGAATGACGTCTCTGCATTTGCGGGCCGCCGACGCAGGGCTGGGTTTCCATTTTCAGAGCGAGTTTCGGGGGGGATCGTCAACATGGAGCCGGAGATGGAGGACAAAACGCTGGAACTGATGGTAAGATTTTTCTCGGTGGACATCTCGGACATCGGAAGTGATCGGTATCACTCCTAAATTAACCGAGGCGCTGAGGTTCGAGTCGACGGCTGAAACGAGCTGAAGCGGCTTGTCGGGAGAGGGAGAGGAGAAAGGAGGGGGGGACCTGAAAGCAGAGGGAGGGCCTGAAATTATCGATGTATTTCGCGAGGAATTGTCCGCATATGTGTCTATTTAATAAACTCTTCTTGTGAGTCAACATTAGATAAACGCTGGTCACTCTTTCTTGTAGACTTGAATGGTAAATATTGCGGGATTTTCAGGTTAATGTTGAGTCGTCGCCCAAACACAGCCGAGGAGTCTCGGGGTAGCGTTCACTGCGGTGACGCTGCGCCACTTTAACAGGGCCCAGTCTGATACTTGTTAGCCATCCAGCTAACAGAGGCTAGAAGGCGATGAACCACGGTAATTTACTCATATGTTGTATGTTCTTGTTTATCTATTGACGACTAACACTCTAATCGATGTGTCTAATAGTTATAGAGACACCTCGATGTTACGTGATGAAGTTAACATCGACAGTGTGCTGCCTGTCTGTTTATATTTTTTAAGTGCGTAGAAGGAAGTGTGTTGCTTTTCATTCACTTAGCGTTACCACGATTAGCGAGGTAGCAATTAGCCTATTAGCCGACGAGCTAAAATGCTAAGTACTTGACAGACATTACTTCACCCCAACAGGCATTATCGGGGCAGTAGGAGCTCATTTAGTGATAAGAAACGTCAAATGTCAATAGACGGAGTTCTCGATAATAGATGGTCCGGTTTCTGTAATATGTAGTTCGTCTGTTGAACCAGCCTTGTTCAGACAGGCTAGCATTAGCTCGCTCATGGCTACCGTATTGCTCATATTTGACAAAAATTAAATTGTGGCATTTATAGAACAATTTACCAAAAAGTAAAAGTCAGAGTTTGAGTTTCATGCCACCTAGTTCTCGGTTTGGCTGACACACATATCCCTGGTATTGCCTTACTCTCTATTGACAAAGTCAGTCAGGCCTTGGCAGTCATATCTTTAGTAAACTTTGTGGACCTAACGTGCCTCCTACAAACTGGGTCACAAACGCACCTGAGTGAGCACTTAATGCCTTTGTTCTCCAAGTGATGATTATCCATAAACACTGCATATCTTTGTAGACCACAAATGACCATCATTAAGGGCAAATAAAGCCCAGTAAACACAGACAGTACTTCTGGATGGAGCTTCTTGATTATATGACGTTGTTTTTCACTGTATTTCTTTATATGATTAAAGTTTGTAGATCAATGTTAAACTTTTAAAGAAGTTTCTAACATAAATGCCCTATGAATATCAGAAGAAGACCAAGATTTGATGTTAAAATGTATTTATTTGACCATGCACACACATGTATTTTCCTTTAGTGAAGGCTATTTCCACTCCATTTAATTTATGAATGAGACTTTAGAGACAGTGTCCCCACAGGCTTGACAATTGTCTTGGTTTTCTGTGTTTTTAGTTTGATTGATTTATTTTTGTCCCAGTGTTATTACTCACTAACCACTCATGAGAGTGGGGATGGCAGAACAGTGGGTGGGGTCTCTCTCAAAAGCCAGAGGGACAAAAAATTGACAACTTATCCCATTGCCCCTCCCTCTCCTCTACCTATCCCCACCCAGTTCATGTCTAATAATGCTTCTGTGTGTATGTTTATCAGTCTGTTACTCGTGTGTGGAGGAGTGTGTGTTCCTGCGCTCACTGTGCCAATGTGTGTAGCTCTAATACTGGTTTTTCCCCTCACTATCCCCCACCTCCTCCCCTTTTTTCTCCCCTCACCTTTGATGGTTACACACCCACCTCCTCTCAATCTCGAACCAAACATTATCCATTTATTTTTCTTCTTATTTTCGTACTCTTATACTTTTCCACACTCTACCTGTCCTGTTTCTCACACACCTCTCACCACTGACATACACCTGTTCATCCATTGACCCATCCATCCTACCATCTCCTTTGGTTTCCCCCTTCACGACCTCCTTCATCAACCCTGTCCTCTTTTCCTTTACTTCTCATCTCTGGTCTTTCGCTCTTCCCCCTTCTCTACCTTCCTCACCCTGTCCACTTCGTTCTCCTCCTCCTCCCTTCCTCCCTTCCTCTCTCTCTCTCACACAGTGCTCTGTGCCTCGCTCTCTCTGGCTGGGCTGCTCCTCGGTGGCTGAGAGTTTGTGTGCACTCAGGTGCCTGCAGAGCATCCCCTCCACCCGGGCTCACAACCAGGTTCTGCCTCTCTCCTCTTAATTCTGCTGCTCCTCCTCCTCTCCCCCTCCCTCCCCTTCCTCCCTCACCATCTTCTCACCCTTCACTTTTCTTCGCCCACTCCACATGACTCCTCATACCACCTTGGTGCAGACAGCACCCACTCACCCCCTCACCCTCCTACCTCCTCACCTTCCGTTGTCCTTTCCTCCCTGTTGGAAGCACACTGCTCTCGGGTTCTTCTCTGGTGTGGCCTCAAACTCTCTCAGCTTAAAACAGAATTGTAGCCTCATAAACTATAATTATCTGAATTATAATCATGTCAAATCACAGCTCTTACATCCTGATCAGGCCCTAGTACTAAAAAAACCAAACAATAATTTGCTTGACAGAGGGAACTGGATGGAGACGTCAACAATTGAACGAGTTTGTGTAATTAATGAGCTTGCTTTGGGAAGAGGAAGGATCAAGGGGGTACCAGAGAATAATCCTGCACTGAGGAGTAATGTTTACTGCCCTGGAGGTGTGAGGGCCGAGGTGGGGGGTCTTCCTTCCAAGCTCTGAGAGGCTTCATGCTTGCTTGCCTGCCTGCCTGGCCAACTTCGTCTATCTGTTTTGATTTGTCCCTCCTTTTCTTTTCTGCTTTGCATGGTCATCAACTCCAGCGAACTCATCTTGGCTTTATGTCCTGTCTGCTTTGGTCTTGGTACCTAAACCTTTGTTTGTCTGTTTGTTTGTGTGTTTGTTGTGATTGCCTGTCTTCTATGAGAGACCAGTTTTTGAGAGGATGCTGGGTTGAACTTAGAAACGAACATCCGGGCAACATAGTTCTCCTGTTTTGACAATTAGCCTAGGTTCAGCCCACTAATGGCAACTCTTTAGCCTCCTCTCTCCCTGTCAGAACATCAAGATCAACATGTCTGTATTTTTTAGCCCTTTTGTAGATGAAGACATTATGAAAGACTGGCATTGGTGCAGCCATGCCCTAGGCAGAAATGCTGAAGTACTGCCCTCTCCTCTCTCTCCAGCTTTTGTGTCCTGTTTGTGCAAAAAAAGTTAAAATAGATGTTGAAAAATAATATAAATTTAAGGGGGAAACTGCAGTTAAAATGACCATTTGTGCTTTTTCATATGACGCTCTGTCAGGGGAAAACAGTTTGTAGTGGATGCTTTGAGATGTAGGAATGTGCTGGTTCAACAATGATGTAGATGTATACAAACATAGACTTCTTAACATCATCCTGTGTACCCTAATTTACAACTAAAACCAGGCAATCAACCCCAACTACATGTGAGCAGGCTATGTGTGATTTTTTTTTAAGGAGATTGTGATGTTGGTGAATCTGATGTTGTACCATCTTAAGGATTTGTTGTTATTACATGTTCAGTATAAATGGTTAGCCTCCCACTGTATTACTGTCACTAATGTGATTGGCTCCATTACTGTGTTGTAATTTAAATGTCATTAGTCTCCCTGGCTTGTTTGTGATGCTCTTGAAAAAGGACTCCAATCTGTGTAGGACCTCAGTTGAGCTACAAATGGGTGGGATCCAGTCACCCCCTGTTTTGATCCTGTCCGTTCTATAAGCAGTTAGACCACTCCATGATTTTAGTTTCATTACAGTCATGCCTGAGATGCTGCCAGTGACATACCCAGGATGCTACAGTTTAATTTCCTGTCCAGACTACTTAGCCCACATCACAGACATAGCAAACCTTTAGTGCGGTACTTACTTCTTTCCACTTTGTGTGTGTGTGTGAGTGTGTGTGTTTGCGCGTGCGTGCGTGTGTGTGTATGCACGGGTGTTTGTTTGTGCACGCCTCTACAGTCATGATAGGTACCCTTCCTTGGCTGTTTGTGGTACTCTTGTGTCCAGCGCTGTCCACACCGCTGCCCTGGCTCTCACAGTGCCTGTCACACATGTGTTACAGAACCAAACACTCACCTGCGCCTCGTTGTTGTGTTGTTGTTTTTCTCTATAGAACACATCAGGGATGGAGTCACAGAGCCTCGTGGATGATCTGTCGCCAAAGAAGAACACAGTTCTCAAGGTTTGTTGGTGTTCGTGTCAGTCCATAACAACATCTTGATGACAAAAACTGAATGTAAAGCACAATTTTTATAAAACAACAACTTTAGAACATCCTACACTTGCTGCAATTTGACTGTCATAGTCTTCAAATTAGATGAACTTGAAGGTAAAACAAAAAGTCATGTTTAACACAACAGTCTGTGGCATCCGATAGTTAAAATTTGATTGTTTACCCCTGAGGTGAAAGCCTGACTTTCATTTTCAAATAAACCTGCACCTTAAGCCTTTTCCTCTTCCCGTTTTCACAACCTTGCAGGCATTTTGTGTCTGAAAAGCTTTGCAGCGAAAATTGATTTTGAACTTTTTCTTTATTCTAAAGCTAAACTCTTAAACCTGTCCTTACATTCTTAGTAGTCTTAGCATACTGTTTTTGTTTCAATCCCTCGTCACAGTTTAATATCCTGACTTAATCAAATAGTACATTTCTGAATGTACTTTTCTCACCACACACTGACTACAAGTTAACAAAGTGTCCTGCTCATGTAGACCTACTTTGAAGACATTTGAAACTTCCAAAGAAAACTGTATCCATTTGTTGTCTGATCTCTCACGTTACAATCAGTCTCACACAAATCAACAATTGTTCTTTAATCTTCATCCGAACAGCTTAGTAATGGTCCTGTTGTGGGATCCCGCAAGCGTCCGTCAGAGGGGAACTACGAAAAGGAGAAAGAACACTGCATCGCCCTGTTTGACCAGTGGTCGGAGGCCGACCAGGTGGAGTTTGTTGAACGCCTGATCTCCCGTATGTGCCACTACCAGCACGGCCACATCAACTCCTACCTCAAACCCATGCTGCAGAGGGACTTCATCACTGCGCTGCCAGGTACAAACACACAAACAAGATAATATAGCCCTCTTCAGTTCAATCTAAAACTGGGCCCAGGACTCATTAAATCACATGGTCATGTGACTTCAAGTGAGTTTTAATGTAAGCCACAAAGTAGTCCAGGATAAATAAATTAGTAATTGTGTTTTTGGAGAAAAATTGGCCTGCTGCTAATGAACCCATCAACAACAACAAGACAGAACAGCAGACAGTCTCCACTCCAAATGATATCTCTGGACTGTCTAAAAAGATTTAGCAGTTGTTCGATATTCCACAAGCATATTTACAAACATTCACAGAATACTTAAGAATAATGGAAAAACAAATATAAGGACCCTCAGGCACAGACAAACCCAGCAGATGATATTCCATTAATTTTGCAGCGCTCACTCAGCCTCTTCTCTCTCGCCCTCTAGCACAAGGCTTGGATCACATAGCAGAGAACATCCTGTCTTTTCTGGACGCACGCTCGCTATGCTCAGCAGAGCTGGTGTGTAAGGAGTGGCAGAGGGTCATCTCTGAGGGTATGCTGTGGAAGAAGCTCATTGAACGCATGGTCCGCACTGACCCGCTCTGGAAAGGCCTATCCGAGAGACACCAATGGTGAGAACAAAAAAAGAGAGATCCATTTACACACCGCACACAAAGGACGACTGAGCCTCCCTCTGTTTAAGAGGGAGATCTCTTAACAGCCAGCTCGGGGTAAAATTGAGAGTCTATCTTTTCAAGGTTTGGAATTTAAGAATAAAGGCAGAGAAGGGGAAAGTAAGGTCATACTTGACTGGACTTGAGTGTTTATTGGGAGTGGGAAAAATTTCCTGGTAGATACAAAGCAGATGTCATTCTGATATTTTTCTTGCTTCAGGGAGAAATATCTGTTCAAGAACCGCACGGCAGAGGTCCCACCCAACTCCTACTATCACTCCCTTTATCCCAAGATCATCCAAGACATAGAGGTAAGATACAGTGATTGGATTCAGTCTGAATAAACACTTGTGAAGTTGAATTAACCAGTTTTTAGATTTTTTATTGGACATTTTCATTGTTTGTTCCTTTGTCCCTCCTTCTTTCAGACTATTGAGGCTAACTGGCGGTGTGGCAGACACAACTTGCAGAGGATTCAGTGTCGCTCTGAAAACAGTAAAGGGGTTTACTGTCTCCAGTATGATGATGACAAGATCATCAGTGGCCTTAGAGACAATTCCATAAAGGTATGAAACGTATTTTCACACAAGGACTTGAATTTAATCTGATTTTTATGTTGTGGTTTTTTTGTAACATGATGACCATGAGGTTCTGCAGTCAAGTGAGGGAACCACCTCACTGGCCTAAGGCGATATGTCAGTGTTAGTGACATCCAGTACATTAGCACTCGCAGGGATGAGAGTCAGAAGATATGGTAGTGAGAAAGCATTGTGTGCGTTGTGTGTGGTTGATTTCTTCCAACCCAGGTTTGTGTATTTATGAATTGAATCTCCTCTTGCGGCTCCGTGTAGCTCATCTTCTCATTGTCTATGGCGCTGAGCTGAACCAGCAGACACTGAGACAGAACACGAGTGAATTAAAGGATAAAAGAGCTCAGCTCCAGACTCTGCTTTTTTTGCACTTATCTGTCTGGCCCTGGAGAAGAGGGGAAGATGATGAAGAGAAATGAAGGGAGGAAGATGGAGGGAGGGAGAAGAGCGGATTTGTCTCCTCATTGTTCCTGAGGAGGCTGACGCACACCCAGAGAGGAGCTGAATGGCTCTTGCACACAGAGCTGAGCACAGCAGTGGGGAAATGGGGCATGAAGAGTGCTATGAGAATAGGCCATTCTTAGCATGACCCAAATCTACAACCTTTTTCTAACCTTTCATAACCATTTCTACGTCTTTTCTCTGTGTTGTCTTCTGTCCGTTTCTTCTTCTGCTTCCCACTTTTTTTTTTCTCCCTTCCCTTCCTCCGGTCCTTTTCCTCAAAGATCTGGGATAAGCAGTCTCTGGAGTGTCTGAAGATACTGACCGGTCACACAGGATCAGTGTTGTGTCTGCAGTATGATGAGCGGGTCATCGTCACTGGGTCTTCTGACTCGACTGTCAGGTAGGAAACACATGTTATTATTTTATTTTACTTCATTATAAAGTAAAAATAGAGGGACACAGATCAAACTCTGAATCATTTGTGTGATAAGAGCGGCCTGTGATTTCAATCAGTTAATCTTCTTATAGGTGGTTAATATGTCAGTAGGAAAGGATTCAGTATCTAGATATTAGTTTGACGATGAATTCTCTCACTGAAACTTGTTTTATCAGTCATCAATCCACAATATTCAAAGCCAAACACTGCACTGTTTTCAGGGACAGATATATTTTTTTACCTTCAGAAAAATGACCACATCTCCTGTCTTATCATTTCAAAAGGTGCAGTGAACCTGATGCAAATTATCTCATGCAAAACACGACCGAGTTACAAGACATGCAAATGTCAGTTGACTTGTAGAGTGTTAGTTTTGAATATGAGAAGCTGGAAGTTGATTCGGAAACCTGGAGTTCAAGCCAAAACTCGGCGTAAAGATGTTGTTAATCAAAGTGCAGCTTAAGGGAAAGAAAAGGAGTGATAGTGTTTTATTTTATAATGAGCCACACTGACTTTCATTCAGAGATAGTAACATTGGTTTTATTGCATTTAAGACCCTGTATGTGTGTGTATGTGTGTTTATGTGTGCGCGCATGCATGTATGTTGATGCCTCCTTGGCTACCGCACACAGAAGCTTAACATTAATTCTCTCATTACTTCACACTTCAGCTGTACGAGCTGAGTGGTATCCAAGGAAAATGTGACTTCACTTCCTTAGCAACAGCTTGACAGGCTCAGTGTTTGTAGGTTTTGGTTGTCAGCTTTTCCAGTGTGTTCTGCATTTGACTCCTAATGCCAAGCTGTGCCGCGCAGTAACAGACACTTGTATATGTGTGTGTGTACGTGTGTGTGTGTGCGTCTCCATTGTAAAACCAATAAACATATTCTCTCTCATGTCTCCATTGTTTTCTTTTTTTCTACACTCTCATTGCACGTCTTTTCCTATCTCTTTTGTCAATTTTTTTCTTTGGTTTTGACCATTTCCCCATGTTGTCCCTCCTTCCTTCACACTCCTTCCTCCCATCTTTTTCCATTCTACGATCCTTCATTTCATCCTACCTTGGCTGTACCTCCTCCCTTCCTCCTTTCACATCCCTTTTTTTTTTCTTTTGCCACATTTTCTCTCCCCCCTCTGCCACTTTTGCCCTTTTTTCACCATTCCCTAAACTCTCTCCCCGTTTCCCTCCATCTCTCTCTTCTTCAGGGTGTGGGAGGTGACGACAGGTGAGGTACTGAACACACTGATCCATCACAACGAGGCAGTTCTTCACCTGCGCTTCGCCAACGGCCTCATGGTGACCTGCTCTAAGGACCGTTCAATCGCAGTGTGGGATATGGCCTCTCCTACTGACATCAGCCTACGCCGTGTCCTTGTGGGACACCGGGCCGCTGTCAACGTTGTCGACTTTGACGATAAATACATCGTGTCTGCCTCAGGGGACCGCACCATCAAGGTAACAAGAGCAGCCATTCATAAATTCAAATGACAAGCTCACGGCTATAAAGCCTGCTGAGGTCGAAATGTGATGTGACAGATCAGACAGCGGCGGGGCGGATGCTGGGAGGTTGAATTAAGGTGTGAAGTTTATTAACGAGAACACTTGAGAGGAAACTATGAAGGCATGCAGTGAAGAGTTTTGAAGTGTTACTACAACAGAGAGTTAAATTGGTTATTTCAACTTTGTGAACTTGAATGATCAGTTTTTTAAAGACCTATATTTTCAATGTGACTCAATTGTAGGTATGGAGCACCAGCACCTGTGAGTTCGTTCGCACTCTAAATGGTCATAAACGGGGCATTGCCTGTCTACAGTACAGAGATCGTCTTGTGGTCAGTGGCTCATCTGACAACACAATCCGGTAAGTGTTGATATATAAATATACAACTATTGTAGAGGCTCCTGAGGCTTAGAGGTAGAGTTAGTTGTCTCTCAATCAGAGGGTCAGGGGTTTGGGGTTTGACCCAAGGTCAAAGTGTTCTCGGGCAAGACACCTAGCCCTGAACTGCCCCTTGCTGGCTGAGTTTAAACAGCGTGTGAGTGAGAGTTGTACTGATAGGTGTTAATCACAGTGGCTTCTACCATCAATATGTGGATATGTCATGTAAAAGTGCTTTGAGTGGTCCGAAGACCAAAGAAAGAGCCGTGTAAATAAACACAGTCCATCTGCGAGACACGGTACATCTTGAATTATTTGCAAGTAAAAACAAATCCGTTAAATGTAGAAAGTATTAAAATATTCATGAAGGGAAAGATTTCCATTTCAACTAACTCACCAGAAGACGACTTTAGTCACTCTTGTTTTTACATAGCTTTACTTTTATGGTTTTTTATATAATACCACCAACAGTGTAGGTACATGGCCTTGCTGTGTGTTTAAGAAGCATCTCTTTCTCCAGGTTATGGGACATCGAGTGTGGGGCTTGTTTGCGAGTGCTCGAAGGTCATGAGGAGTTGGTGCGCTGCATTCGCTTCGACAACAAAAGGATTGTCAGCGGCGCCTACGATGGGTCAGTCTCACACACACACACACACACAGATTTGTGCACACAGTCACATTTTGTTCTTGACACTGTGTTGTCTCACGTTTCCCTGCAGTAAGATAAAGGTGTGGGACTTGCAGGCAGCCCTGGACCCAAGAGCCCCTGCCAGCACATTATGTCTGCGCACTCTGGTGGTGAGTATCACTGGTTTAGTTTGAGTTCATATGGCTTAAGTGGTAACCATGGATAGAGCGCCATTTAACTAGCAGTTAAGGTGCACAGTCGTTTGACCTCCGACCACGACTGTTCATATCATCCCCTACTCTCTACTCCCCAAATGTCCCGGCTCTCTTCAGCTGTCTCATCAATAAAAGACAAAATACACAACAATAAAACATAAAGTTATAAAATATATATTTATTTGTACATATAGTTTCAAAATGAGCAAAAGTGCAAATGGTTTAGATCAGTGGTTCTCAACTAGTAGGTCCCGACCCAAAAGTGGGTCAGGGACATGTTCTGGACAGGTCGCCAACAGCTGGTCGAAAAAGTAAATATTTAACACGCACCTGATGTTTGAATGTCTTGTATTTTAACAAATAGCTCATTTTGAAATGCAAATAAGTCAGATTTTTCATTTTGCTGGTCTCCATTTTCTCTATATGCAACTTTAATAGTTGTCGTCCTCAGGTCAAGTGCTTTAAAATGCATTTTACTCAGTAACGGGTGTATTTATGATAAATATATATTTACGCCTTTTTTATCATAGCTACTTCAGGATTTTTTAAATAAAAAATACATTTGCTTGGTTTGAATTCTATAAAAGTGGGTCACGACTTAAGGACCATGGGAAAATGTGGGTCCCAGAGTGAGACCAGTTGAGAAGCACTGGTTTAAATTAATCTGCCGCTTTTTTATTTCACATCATTTGTTACTAAGTTGCCTGTAACTAAGTTTGAAAATCATTTAAAAGTTAGTTAAGTCACAATCATTTTGTTTATAAGTTTAGTTAGCTTAGTCAAATCTTGACATGAAAGGATGGAATATTTAGGAGTACACAGTATGTACATACTCTAAAGCAATGATAAAGAGGGGTGGACAGAATCATATAAAGCAGCTCTCCATATATTAAACAAAAAGTTGATCTCCCATCTTGGTGAGAACAGGTGGACACAAATCAAAGCTTCAGAATGACTTTGAACAGGAAGATGGCGCTCAAACAGCTCTGAATAAATCTGTCCGTCTCACTGTAATCTCCTTGTCAGTCACCTGAGTTTAGCGAAGCGTCCACAGTGTGGATGTTTCTGTCGCTCGCTGACACGTCTGTTTTTCGCTGTGTTTTCAGGAGCACTCTGGCCGCGTGTTCCGTCTTCAGTTCGATGAGTTTCAGATCATCAGCAGTTCTCATGATGACACCATCCTGATCTGGGACTTCCTGAACGTCTCGACCAATGGCCAGTCAGAGGGACGGTCCCCCTCCCGCACCTACACTTATATTTCTAGATAGCAGGTGAGGAGACGCTGAACCTCCAAACTGAGGAGACACATCTATGTTGTGTCAAAATGTTCCAGGCCTCTAACTGCAGACTGTCCTCCCTCCTCTAGGTGGCGCCATCCACAGATTCATTTCTTGGAGGAGCCTAGGGCTGATTGGCTGATGGCTGCGTCCATCATGGAAAAGAAGCCCGTCTCTTCTCCTTCCTCCTCGTCATCTCTCTGTCCACCTCTCACCCTGCTCCTGCCACTTCCAACCTCCCTGCTCGTTCTGACAGACTCATGAGCTTGTGCCCATTACCTGCCAGTACCGTGACATGCACTCACTCACTCACACACACACACAGACACACACTCTCACACACACACAGGTCAACAGAGGTGAATTTTCCTTATTACAGAACCAACACAACTCTCCCCAGAGCTTCCCCCTCTAATACTAATTTATGTTTTGTGAAGTACACTAATGACAGTATTAAGATAGACATTATGTGAGTCACAAGCGCCCCTTTGACCTCTTGTTACAAACTCAAAGCAGCTTTTGCTCCTCAGTCTTCAACCCCTGCCAAACTGGTTACCACAGATCTGAAATTGCTTATTGATATATATATGTATATGTATTTATATATATATATACATACATATATATACATATATATGGAACACACACATGCACACACGGTGGCACAGTTGGACAGAAGATGACTGGAGCTGTGATGCGGGAGACAGAGACTCTTTACTCAGCTCCAGGAAAGGAGGGAAGGACTGGAGATGGAGGGAGTGATGGAGGGAGAAATGTGTCAGGGTCGACTTCTCGCTCCCTCTCACCCCCTCTCAATCCTCCCTGTCTCTCTCGCTCTCTAACCCCCTTGCCCGGCCCCCCCCCTCCCCTCCAGCCCACAGAGATGCACACTTGCTTGGAATACGGGGGACACACACACTTAAGCCTGTGTGTGTTTGTGTATGTGGACTTTTGAAACAGAGCAGAAGCGTCAAACAGACAGACATGCATGTGAGGTTGCCTTGGATACAGCATCCCGGTACACCTCTGCTTTTTTTCTCTTTAACTCTTACTTTCTTACTGTTTTTTATTACTGTTATTTTCTCATTTTATTTGAGTATTTTGGTTCTTAGTACAAAAATCATGCTAAGCGTAGTCCTTTATCTCTCTTCCTCTTACTGTCTTTTTCCTCTTTCTTTCTTCTAATTCAGACCCTTGTCCACCTGTCCCTTTCACTCCATCTTTCTATCCCTGTCATCTACGTGCTTGCTTTGGTTATGAGAGAAGCTGGAACTCAAGAGCTCAAATTTAGCTGTAAACGGAGTTGTCTTGTCAAAAATTGTGTTGTATATTAAAAATGATTTTTTAAAGAAGAAAAATGACCTTATTGTGAATAAAGTACTTGACAGTGGTGGAGTGTTGAGCCAACTGTAACATGAATGAGTGTCTAATTGTCTGTCAGTTTTTGTCTGTGTTTTTAATGTGCGGCTGGATTTGTGTAACGCCTTGTGTCTCCGACGTGCAGATTGCCGAGAATGAGTGTGTCTGTCCTGCAGGCAACAAGAGCTGATATGTTTGTCTTTTAGTATAAAATTCTGAATTATTCCAGAAACACTCAAGCAAACGCAGACCATAAACTCTTGTATCTGTAGTCTTCTGAAAAAAAATGGAACAAAACAGTAAAAAAAAGGAAGATGTTTTTAAAAGCTCAGAGCGGGAAGATAGTAATTTAAACCAGGTGTGTCTACAATAAGTTATCTGATCTTTTAAGGACCTGGTTTCAAATTGCCACTTATTACAGCAACACCTTATTGTTTTGACCTGATCAAATGTGTGATACGCATCACTTCTTTATCATTCTTTATCAGGATCATTACAAGGTAAAAGCGAGCACATAATAGATGGTGGCGCTTTTTATCCTGTCATATGTATCTTTAAGGGATGGCAGATGTGTGAGTGTCTCACCAAACACTGGCATTTATCTATGTTTACACAACTTACTCTTTTACATGTAGTCTCAGTAATCTGGATTAAATTTAATGTTAGTCTTGAAAAAACATAAGTTATTGAAAGTAAATAGTTACAACAAAGTAAATATTTACATCCACTAAGTTCAACATAAAGTCAACTTTTTCATTAATATTGAAATATCATGGTCGTGTTTAATTCTCTGGTTTGATTTCTCACATCTTCCAGTGAGACTCTCTCATGTTTAAACACTTTTCAGAATTGCTGATTTTGACTTGAAGTAATCTAATGAAAAACAAATGTTGGATAAGCCGCATCATGTGACAGTATTATTAGTGTAGTAAAAAATGGCCACCAGGTGGGAGTATGACCTCAGTTATCTCCTTCAGTTATAGGTGTTTGTGAGACTCTGCCTCGGACTGTTTGGTAGCCAAGCTGTGAGTCTAAATAACCTGTTGGAGAAGATCACATACTCGGCCTTGTAAACAGTGAAGGAGGAATGTATGTTTGGGATGCTAAAAGTAGAGTCTTTTGAGCATAGAGCTGGCCGCTGTAGCTGATCTCTGTAATACTTCTGTCTGGTTACTGTACAGTGTGTAGTCTCCTGGCCTTACAGAAGGAGGGGAGTGGGTTTTCTAGATTTGGGGTTTCGTTTAGTGTAGTAGAATGTTTCAAATTCTGGGAATAAGTTATGTGGGATGGATTTGTGCTTGGTGGAGCACCATTAGTATATGATGTGTGTATGTGTTGGATATGGGTGTGTGTGCTTCCTCTGGGTCTGTGGGATTTTGGCCCATAATTCCTGCAGCTCTCAGGTCACAGCTCCGTTCTCACGCACATATTTGGCATTCCTTCCCCGACATGATTACCATACACCTTCCACTCTGGGTTTGGCTACGCAGAATATTTCCATCATTCCCGAGTGGAGCTGCAGCAACGTTCCAGAAATGAACAACTCACCCTACCACCCTCTTCTAGCTCTTCTTTATCCCACCCCCATTCCCTTTTTCTCTTCCACCCCTCTGTCTCGTTATCCCCCCCCTCTTAAGCAGAGATTCCTGCTGTCTTGCAATAGGAATCCTCTGGTACAACCCTGTTTTTCCCCCTGAGTCAGCTGTTTCTGTCTGCCGGCATGATTGGGTCATTTGGCAGCGACATCTCTTCAGTGACCTCCTGCTAGGATGGGGAAGGAAGGGGAGGGATGAGGGGACAGGAGCAGGAAAAATGAGAAGAGAAGCAGCAATGAAACTCTGTCTCACTACTGCCTGTTTCCCATCTACTGTTCAGTCTGATTCTTCATGTTAGACAGTCATGGCAAAACTTCAAAACGTTGAGGTGGCTTCAAACGGTTCCTGACGGAGGATGGCCCTCATTAGATTTGTATTTCATAAGTGAATGTCTAAGATTCAAATTTTGGTCTCTTTTTCAGCCTTTGCCAACGAATACTTTGACATTTCAGGATCTTGAAACTCTTGATCAACTGAATTCACTCTTTCAGTTTCTGCAAGAAATTCTTAATTCAGTGTTTTGCATTTTTTTTTCTCAGACCTTAATAGCAGAATTGAGCAAAATCCTTTCTTCTGCATGTAACTGTTATCAGCTTAGAGGGTTATACCTGCTCAGAGAACTTTTTCAAATCTGCTCATCAGTTTTCTTTCGGTTTCAAGCCAACTGCGACTCTGTGGTCTTCTATTTTTTAACAACAAAAAGCTGAAAAATGTGAACACAACATTCAAAAAGGATCAAATGATGCAACATTTTTTTCCATTGAAGTGAGGAGTTAATTTTCGATGAAATATCTAGAAGCCAATGTAATTAATACTATAAAATGTTGATAAATCCATCAAACTTTCACTCTACTGTATATCAGTCTGCATATTGAGTGATTAATTGCAATATTTAAATAATATTAATCATTATATCTCACAATTTCTCGTGGCTGTGTTCATTTTAAAAAGTTAAAATAAGCAAGAGTTCACTTTTTTTACTTCTTAATAAAATTTGCTGCCTTTTTTTGTCAGTCAAGAAACCAAGCACCGTTGTGAACTTGTACGCCCTTCTGCAATATATATTCTGACAGAAAAGAAAGAGGATGTGAAGAAGTTCAAAGACACACAAAAAATGTTTCCGTAAGATTTACTGAGTCGAGAAAGACTGCTGCACACAGAGCTGAAATAAATAAATGAAATAATTTTATCGTAATAATTATAGTAACCATCATAGTAAGATTGCTTATTTAGGGTTTCTGTCTTCTTTTATATATATAATATATATAACTTTCAATAAATTGTTCCCTTTAATATTTTTCTCCTGTGTGTATGCATGAGACTTTGGTTTGTTCCACTGAATGTCCTGGTAGCAGCATTCTGTATCCACGGTATCACACAGGAGCATCATCCCCTGGGTCGTTTCTATAGCAATGCTAATTGACAAGGCACCCTCCCTGCAGTGCTCACCCCTGCGTTTGTCACCCTCCGCACCTATAAACTGAAGGTGAAGTGTCCTTGGGGGGGCCAGGGTAAGGGGAGGAGTTGTGAAGAAGGTCTCCGGTTGTCTTTGGTCGGCCGTTGGTTTGGTTTGCTGTGATTGGATGGCTGTTTTTGGTGCAGCTTGGTTTTTATACATTCGAGTTCTTTGAGTTTTGGTCCCTGCGGTGAGTTGTCACGGGTTCATGCAGGGACTGGATGGTCCCTTTCCAGAGTCCCTCGTGATACAGCTTCACTCATGGTTGTTGGTGCACTCAACCACACATGCAAACACACTTTTAACATTCATGTCCTCTCCTTTCCCTCATCACAAACATGCATTTATTCAGTAATTCACTCACTCAGTCATTCCCTCATTCAACCTTTAACAGTCTCACAGGTTCCCAATGATTTAGTAGTGAGACAAATAAGTGCGTCACATGTCAACAATACATAATCGGTCCATTAGATCTGTGCAGATCGCTCTATCCCTTTGTCCAGTCCATAGTTTTCCTGTCTTCTCCCTCCTTTTTTTCCCTTTGTCCCTAAGCCAAGCACCCACTTCTTGTCTAGTCAGTTTTCTCCCACCCTTGATCTCACTGCATGGTCCAGTTGTAATCCCACACTTGACATAGTCCAGCAGATCGAGAAACAGGAGACATGAAGATCTTGTGGTTCTTGTGGTTCTGGAGTAAAAGCCTTCAGAGAGCCTGGGACTCTGGCTGCCCTTCAGGTTTCTAGCCTATGAAGGGAAACAGACCAAATCCAAAGAGCTTCCAGCGACTGACCGGTAAAAGTCCAGTTTGTCCAGGAAGGGAAGCAAAACGGAGAGGCGGGATCAATAGATTTGGGGCTGTAGTGGCAAATTAGAAGGTGTAAAGCTAAACCCCATGAATGATTCATCAAGTTTCTGGTCAATGTTTGTCCCAACAAAGGGAGCTGATCAGCCGTGTGTGACAGAAGAGATGATGACTGGGTTAGCCATATGCAGGCTCAGGTCCAGGCTTTGGATGACAAGACAGTGGGTGCTAGCTTTAGCCACTACTAGCGAGGTCCGGTAGCACGAACCCTCTTGCCTCGCTTGCTGATGGTGGTGAAGCGGAACGGTGTGGTGAGGTCAGGCTGCTCCCCTGGCGGAAAACGCTTCATGAAGTGCACGTCTTGCTGGTTGGGGAGTGTGTGTGGGCCGCGGCGAGGGCGGCCTCTTTTAGTGAAGCCCACATACCAGCCTGTGTAGCGTGCTGACATCAGGGCTGTGTAGTGGTTCTCCAGGACCTTTTCCACAAAGACGCAGTCAGCGCTTCGATTACTGGCCTTCTGAGAGAGCAGAGAAACCACAGGGATCCCAGACACACACACACACACACACACACACACACACACACACACACACACACACACACACACACACACACACACACACACAAACACACACAAACACAGGCAGATTGGAGGAAAAAACAAAGAGAGGCTGGTCAGGAAACTGGACGATACTCTTGGTTAACATAACCCTAAAGGAATGGGTAACACTTTATATAAAGGTGGTTGTAATAAGTCGTAATTAATATGTAATAACTGACTTATAAGACATTATAAGACCTTATTAGATTCTTATTAACACAAAAAGGGTTAATAACAAAGTATTTATTAATCTTTGTAAGCAGTGTTCCTACTTTAGATCCAGTACCTGCAGAGGAGTAGGTACAATAAGTGCATAACAAAGTATTATAAGGCTTTTATATTTCCTTATGAATCGTAACTAATGTAAACAAACATCTTATTAATGTTTTTTTTCCTTGGCTTTTGACCCAACTTGAGATGACATTTGTTTAATTGTTTTTTTATTGCTTTTTATTATATTTGAAAACAACTATTTATTGTTGTTTTATGTTTTTATGTTATTATGTACAGCACTTTGTGTCAGCTTTGTTTGTATTTAAAGTGCTCTATAAATAAAGTTGAGTTGAGTTTATGACAGTATATAAACAATTAATACGTTTGTAATTAGTACATATAAGTGTCTTAAAATAAAGGTATTTATTATCCCTCTATTAACACTTAAAAAGACTTATTTGTGTTAATAAGACTCTAATATGGTCTCATTATGACTTATTACATATTAACTACAACTTATTACAACCACCTTGATACAAAGTGTGACCAAGGAATGAAGTCTTACCTTTCCTACAAGTTTGCCGCGGCGGTTCATGCACAGGTAGAAATTTGTTTCCTTGCCCCGGATTCTCACCTGGCTACCGAAGGTATCAGCCTCCACTACGAGCTGGGCTTGTAAAGGGACAGACAGAGGGACAGACAGACATTAGAGGCACAGACAGTGCAGAGGAACCAGTATTTTTGTTTGTAGAGGTAACGCAATTTATTAGGTTGTTCCACATGTACAGTTCAAAAGATAAAGGTGATAGAAATTTAGTACTCAGTTAGTTTTATAGTGTATCCCATGGTAAAGACTCCTAGGAATGAAATACTCAATCAGAACTGATGTAAAACCAGACAAAGTGTTCACATTAAATCACGGTTTTAGGATTCTGTTGCTATTAAAGCTGCTGATAAATCACAGCTAGATATAAACGTCTCTGGTTGGACAGATGGTTGTCCGATAAGCTCAGTCACACACATGGATGTGAGGCTGCAGACCACAAATGGGCCTCGTAAAAAAGATAACAGGCAGGAGTAGACGGGGCACGGTGGGCTCAGAGGAGAGGGGAAACACTCTCAGACTGAGTGTCTGTGATACTGTTGTTTTGTGCATGTGTGTGCGTCAGGTACATGTGTGTACATCCTTCCAGGCAATACCGATTCACCGTCTACACATCTTCAGAGAGCGCTTGTGCCTGTTTAAAAATAAATCCTTAAAATGGTTCCTACATGACCTTAGTCAACAAAGGGGTCAAGAGAAATCAATACCTCCCTCCCTCTTACCCTCTTCCTCTCCTTCCCCTACTCTCACCTCGTCTCCCGTCTGCTCTTTCCTTTATGTTTATACCTTCATGCACCCAACCCTTTTTTCTGTGCTTGATTTCTTCCCTCTCTTTGCTCCCGGTTCCTCCTTTTAATACTTCATTGCCCATAGTTGGTCACAGAGGAGTTGTATTTGTCAATTAACAGACAGGCTTTTGCCTCACTGGTCCCATTTTTGGCTTAAAGTGGCATCTTAGCAACCTGATGTTTGTGAATGGAAGGGAAGTGCAAGATGTGCCACTGCCGGAGCACACAGGGAGATCTGAACTCCAGTTTTACGGTTTGTCTTTCTTCTGCCCATTGATTCTGTTTGTGGTTTAAGAATAGGTTAGACATCATCACAAATGAAGCTGGGAGGGGGGGCAGTGGGGGATGGACAGAGGGAGGGTGAGAGGGAGAGAGGAAGCCTGCTGTTTTAAATCCAGAGGAGACAACAGGGAGGATGAGAAATCAATGGAGGGATCGATGAAGGAGATGAGTTTCTAAAGCTCGGTCCGACACTCTACCTGCCAGGCTTCTCACACTTTTTTTCACTAACACCTTCTCCCTCGCTCTCTTTCTTTTGCTCTCTTGTGAATCATTGAGTCAGCAGCCAGTCGATGAGGTCTTTGTACTCCCAAGACAAGCTTCACTGCCCCTCTGCCATAGCCTGGGGAGGCATGTGTGTGTGTGCTTTTGTGAGTATGACTGCACAGTTGCATTCTGTATCCATTCATGCATGCACTTGGTCAACCTTCAAGTCTTTGTACTTGCAGCTGTTAGTGTGTGTGTGTGTGTGTGTGTGTGTGTGTGTGTGTGTGTGTGTGTGTGTGTGTGTGTGTGTGTGTGTGTGTTTCTTCTTACCATATTTGTCTCCATCTTCTCCTCGAGCACTGATTCTGCGTCCTAGGACCTGGACGTGTTTTCCGCTGGTGCGGCTGTACAGCTGGTAGACTCGGTGGTGTCGCCGACTCATAGTGTCTCGCACCTGCGTCTGGTTCTCCACATGCACACTGAAGTTGACCCCATCCACACCAAGGACCTGCTGCAATTTACACACACCCATAGTTGGCACACACATGCGGATACAGAGAGTCATAAACAGGTTCAAAAAGCTGTATTTCTACTAATAAACAACTTGTCATGATGTCTTATTCCATTCCCTCTCACCCCGTCCGTCATGTGAGCCGACTCTTACCTGTAATGGATTGCACATCACCAGTAACATCTGGATACATCTGGGAAAAGTAGAAACAGATGAGCTTAGAAATATGTAAGCAACACTGAAAGTTGGAAGAGTGATGTGTGACACCATCATTTCCACTCTTTCTTCTCTGCCGCTCGTCTCCTCAACATCTCTTTTCCTCATTGGGTAATTACTCACACTGCTGGGTGTGTGGCTGGCATAGCCAGCTGACACACACACACACACGGACAGATGTCCAGGGAGACAGACAACACCCAGAGCTGTGTTTATCATTACGCTACCAACCTTCTGTCCAAACCCACTTTCTGACCCGTTCTTGACTTTCACCACGCCAAAATCTGGCCTCCAAATGACCCGATTGGACCACGGCAGAATGGCAAACATGCCGAGACAACTAGAACATGTTTTGGTTTGGACATCTGAAGGAAAGGCTGGCTTATTTGGCTGCCCTGCGTATGTAGACAGCTGGACTGGACTACAGGTGTACAGTCTGCTCTGATGTGGCTTTGGAGAGTGGCGGGCTGTGGTCACATTTAGAGCTATAAGCTATGTATACGTGAGAACATGAGCTACCAAAACTTGAGAACGGATGACTTACGGAGGAATCAATTAGCGTAAAGTAAAGCCGCTGATGAAGTGTGGAGGAATGAATGTTTATGATCCATGTGAAAATACACCTTTCATGAAATATACCTGATTTCACCTTCAGACTATACGGACACATTTATGATTCAAACAGCTGCTTATAATTACAATTTAAATGCCTCTCACTCTTCACATCACTTCATCGAAGCGTGGACCTTGACCTTGGATACATCACATGTTATTTACAGCTTTAGTTAGGGAGTGACCATGTTGCGCAAAGTCTCCTCTGGCAGTCCTTGAACTCCTCTGAATTAGTGGCTGAAGACTTGATGAAGTTCAGGACCAAGTGTGTGGGCTGAAGAGCTATTCTATGAATTTTGTCTTTCCCCACCTCATCTTTCGCTATCTCTCTGCATGCCTCCTCTCTCTCTCTCTCTCTCTCTCTCTACCGCTCTACTCTCTTTCTAAGACTTGTTGTCCTCCCTTTCTCTCCTCTATCTTATCTCTCTGTCCACTTTACCTTTCTCCTATCGTTCCCTGCCTCCCAGCTTCCTTTATGTTTGGGGTTAACGGGGCGACTCCTCCACACTGTCATGGGCATGCACACAGATGTGCAGATGTGTGTTGGGTGTGCATATGTATACAGGAGGCGCAGGCAGCTGACAGCTGGGTCAAAGCAAAGACATACACGCTGCTGAGAGAGGGAAAGATAGCGGGGAGGAGAAAGAGTTGGCCTGAGAGGTACACAAAGGGAGGAGAGAAAGCAGGACAGATGAAGGTGATGTCAGAATAAATAGAGGGGGAAACGAAGAAAGAGGAGGCTGACGGAGAAGAAAAGAGCTGAAAGATAAAATCAGAGAGAATGGGCAGATGCACAGATGTGAGAAGGTCAACATCTCAAACATCTCAGAGCAGGAGGGGAAAAAGTGGCAAAATGAGAGACAGTAGTGTAACCACAGAGTGTGGTCTGGCGTGAGAAGTAGACAAAAAGATAAACAAGAAGAATGAAAGAGGAAAGGGGTTCAGCTCATGCACATCCAAACACATGTCTCTGCATCCTGACAAACACACACACACAATGTACCACCTTCCCCCTGTTTCTCCTCCCATCCCTGATGTGTTGGCCCCTGAGTCGCTCTAATGGATGCAGACACCCCGGGCAACGCAGCTGAGTGTTGGCCCTCTCATTTTGCCTGCGCAGCCGAAAAAACCTGAGCGCCTGTGCATTGTGAGGACTCTCAGCTGTTAAAACACCGCAGCTGCAAAGCCGCCGAGGACACTGCAGAAAAGTGCCTCGGCACTGGATTCTCCCACTCCCACAAAAACCACAGACACTCCGTATTATGCCAGCCACAGAAAGAAAGAGAAGGAGAGGGGAAAGAGGGAGACAGGAGCAGCCAGAGGTGGGGGAGGGATGAGAAAACGAGAGAATAAGAGAGCGGCGGAGTAAAAGTCCTGGAGAGTAAAGACAGAAGGAGGTACGGAGAGAGGGAAAGCCCAGTGCGCCTTGGCGGGCCGCCAAAACAAGCAAGGGTCTGACATCATAAACCTGCGTCCCAGCAGATCCACCATATGGAGGCTGCGGTTAGACAAGCAGGCCTCAGCAGCGAGGACTGGGCAGCAGCATGGAGTGAGGGCGGTCGGCCTGGTGGGACTCAACACAGAGCAGTGGTTTCAGCTGTGTGTAGCAGTGGTTAGAGTGGTAGGCCAACATTGAAGCAGTGGGCTTCGGCACGGCGCAACAGTTTCAGATGTTCAGCAGTGGGCTTCAGTGAAGAATAGTGGTTAAGCTTGTGGGTGTGTGAGTGGTATCAGCAGGAATGAGGCCTTTAGTGGGACGAGACTTAAGGAAGCTGAAGGCCTCTGCGCAAAGCTGCGGCTTTAAGAGAAGCAGTAACAGGTTGTTGGCCTTTCTTCGAAGACTCTCGCTGCGTTCGGTGTAAAAACGGCGAGGAGAAAGTCGTGTTACTGTAATATAAGTGATGGGCATGAAGGAAATGAACAGAGAGCTGATTGGCTCTGAAAGAGCTAAACTAAAACCAGCAGACTAAACAGTGAGCCTGCTCCTCCTCAAACTCTGCCAGGGGCGCCATCATTCATCAGTTATCAATTCATACTTTTTATCTGAGCAGATATCTGTGGAAAAATGAGGTAAAGGCAAGACAGTGAGACAGATGTAGGCAGTTAGGTGGGTAAGAGCAGAAGAGCGAGAGAGAGAGAGAGAGAGAGAGAGAGAGAGAGAGAGAGAGAGTCAGGCAGACACCAGCAGCAGCAGCACACACCCTGTCCAGGTTGTGTGAGGAATGAGAAGTATCTGGAGATGACTGCCATCTGGGAGAAGTACAGCCGACACAAAGAAAGAAAAATAAATCCCCTGGCTTTTAACAAGACACACCTTGAATGGGCAAACTCAAGCCCCCTGAGTCTGTATCCTCCCCCCTAGATTTGTTCTTGGCACTTTATCATTTTCCTATCCAGCTAGATAAAGCCGGTGTTATTTGACTTGACTCCTGAATTATTTTCAATAGGAAGGGGGAAAAAAAGCTTTTTCTTTGCGATGGGAAAAATGGCCTTTTCTAAGCCAGCCTGGCCATCCCTGAAGTAAGTGCAGATGGTGATGGAGATGTTTATGGCAGGTTTTATGAGTAACAGGGCCCTGACTCTGACCCAGTGACCCTGAACTGTCAGCCAATCAAAACAGGGCCTTCCATGGCATGTTTTCTATGGGGACTGATGAGGAGTGATGTAATCGTTAGACACTGCAACCTTCCTCTCCATCATCCTCGTAAGTAGCTAAAGGGTCGGTCATGAGTTTAAAAACCTGAACAAAGATTAAGATTTGGGCGTGATAAAGCGATAAAAGTTACTTACAAGACGGTCAGCGTGGGAAGAAGGGGCCACATCGCTTCCCCCCTCCACTATGGAACTTGGCCCAGAGACAGTCTCCTCGCTCGGTCTGAGCCAGTCCGACAGTCCGGAGAGTTCCCCCTTGTGTTTTGAATCCGCTGGAAGTTGAGCAGAGTCAAAGAGTCAGCGGACACTCCTGTTGGCATCGGCGGTGGTGTGCCCTGGTTCTCCCGGCGTGGATGAATGTGCGAGCGCGGGGCAGAGTGGGGTGTGAGGGAGGGGTAACTGTGCCACTGTGACCGCCGGGCAACCTCTACCAGCTGACCAGACCCGTGTGGAGAGGAGAGTGGGCGGGGGAGCAAAGGAGGGAAGGTTTGGACTTTAGAGGCTGCGCGTCCCGAGCAAGGAGATGAACAGGTGAAAGCGCGCGCACGTTGAACAGATAGCCAACTCCAGTCGACCTTGCTGACCCTCAGGGGGACGCTCAGCCCCTCCGACAGCTGTTGTGCGTGCGTAATCTTCTGCGTAATCCAATGCGTAATGTTTCAGCAGCAAGCTTCAGCTCCCCAAAATTGATTCTGCTTTAAATTATGTCTTATGACAAAGTGATGGGTTTATGTTTCCACGCAGTCAGGAGCAGGAGGAAGGTTTAGTCCCGGCACAGCAGGATCAGGAACTGGTGGAGGTGGGCTACCTGGACTGGCTGATGGAGCAAACGGTGTGTTGGAGACGGGCGCTCTGAGGGCGCAAGGTAATGCAGGGCGGCCCCGGTCATGACTGCGCCCCAACGCTGGATCAACGTGTCTGTGGCTCAGGTGACACCGACCAACAGTGTCCGACAGCGGTGGCGATAAGGTCCCGGAGCGGTCCAGCTCAGGGGGTTGTGTGGAGAGTGCTGAATGACAATGGGTGGGGGTAATAAAGGGGAAAGAAAGACAAGAGAGGGAGGGGTGGCTGGAGAAGATGGGAACAGCTGTGACTGGGTGGCGGACTCAGCCACCCGCGACACAGCGAGGAAATAACAGCCGCACTTTGCACCTGATTTTCCGGACTTCCCCTCTTGCCTCAGCCGCTGTTTTCCGCCTGGCTGCAGCAGTCCTCCCTGCGCCCTCTCGACACAATACCAGCCAAAACACAGCACGATGACATCACCTCCAAAATGTTTGAAGGGGGAAAATGCAATCCGATCTTTTTATTTATTTTTTTTAAACGTAGAAAGTTTAAGCAGTCTCTGTGAAGGGGGGAAAAACACGAAAGTCTCCTCACTCCGACAAAAACCAACTCCGCGGTGTGAAAGCAGAAGAGTCGAGTTCACCAGTTTGTGAAGAAATAAAAGTTAAAACAGGCGCACTGGAAACGTGTTTACACGAAACCCACAGTGACACATCTACTCCCAGTCCAGAACCTGCACCGTCCCTCTTCCACTTTACTTGCTCCCTCGTTTCATTCACACACACCAGAGGAAAAACAACTCAAAAAAGGCAGCCGTGCGTTTCTATTCACTCCACTGGTATTATGCAGATCCCTCTGCTTTTCAAAAATTCCACGGTTTCCCTTCATTAAAAGCTCTTCTGAGGGAGGCTGCAGGAGAGGCGCGTCGGCAGGCACAGACCTCACTCCAAGAAAAACCAGAACAAGATTTTAACAGACGCGGATCAATCCTCCCTCCCTCCTCCCCTCTCCTCCCTCCCTCCCACCCCACTCTCTCTCTCTCCTCTCTCTCCCTCTCTCTCTCTTTCTGCCTCACACACGCACATGCACACTTATTGGATCAAAATGGGATTAGTCAGTCGCTATGCGATGCCGGCCCAACTTACACTGCGAAAATATATATTTCAACAAGTGTCTCCACTGTGTGAAAACAACATCTGCATATGGCTGATGGACCTCAACCTGTTTACGAGCCTTAACTAGTTTAGCTGCATTTTTTCCTAATCTGTTCAATCCAATTTGGATCATAATCCGGCGTTATTTGAAGTGATATTTGTTTGTTGGGGATTGATGGCAGGAGTTAAAACACTGAAAAGTGGATGATGTCATGGTTTGGGGAGGAATGCATTGCTGCAAAACAAACTGAGTGGACTTTTAAGAAGATGAGAGTCAAAGAGAAACTGGTCTAAACGTCCTCATCAGCAGATGTCCGTGAAGACAACGACACCTGTCTCAGTCAAGTGAACATCTGTCTTAAGACAAAGCGGACTTCTTGTCCTCCTTTATCTCCACTGAAGATAACCTCACCCTTGCACTCTCTCTAGCCCCGGACTCACACACACACCGACACACACACACTCACACACACCCTTCGGAGCCGCTGCGCTTTCAAGTGATGTATTTTGACTCCCCATTTCATAACTTTTAAGTTAAACCTTAAGAGGGAAAAATGAAACGGAGAATGAGAGACAGTCGGGAGGGCGGTATGTAAGCACGGACACGGATCCAAAACGAACATTTCTCAGGGATTTCGGCAGCAACGCCCGCTCTAGGCTCCCAAAACTCCCTCTCACCGCCGCACAACCGCAGACGGTCAGCCAAGCCAACACAACACTCCTGCCATACCTTTTCTCTCTCTCCCTCTCTTTCTCTCTCTCCCTCTCTCGCACGCGCACACACACGCACAAATAGAGCAACAGAGTAAATTTGTGCGTGTGTGTGTGCGTGTGTGTGTAATAGAGGTGGGAGGAGGCTGGCCTGAAACATCAGGGACAGTTATCTTGGCTCCAAGTTTAACTTATTCTTTTCAACATTGTACTCCCCCCCCACAACACATAGACACAAACACACGTGTACACACATACACACACACACAGAGTTCTGCAACTGGACAGGCTTGAGCTGGGCTGGGTAGGGGTACTGTGGTTGAATGCCTTTCCAGTCATGCTCCATAGAAAAGCCTCTGGCCTTCTTTCCTACCACTGGCTCTCTCTGTCTCTGCACCTGTGTCTGGGCCCTTTTTCACTGCTCACCGCACTATTGCGAGGGACACGGGTGTAAATGTTGTGGAGAAGGATTTGAACCACATTCTGGTGTTGAGGAATGGGCCCGTCTGGTACTCTTAAACCCAGATGGAGAGATCTCAGGGCTGCAGCACAGCTTGGTGAACTGGTGTTGTAAGTAAAAGCAGGCAGAGGAGCCCGAGTTAACACACACATATGGGATCCAAACGCCTGACTAGTTTGTTGTGGTTATATTTTCAAAAGGATCATGTTGCCAAGATAATCTTACTACTGTTGTAAATCTAAAAAGATGATAGGATAATTCTGGGAAACAAGAGTGAGGGTATCAAGCCGAGCCAAATGTTTGTGACGGGACCAAATCAATGTAGTTATGGACTGGTACAATACCTGAGCTGAGAGGACGTACATCTTCTTTCTTCTGTGACAGCTGGAACCAACCTCAGCTTGAGGAAAACACTGACGTGCAGCCAAAGGTGTTGGATATGACACTATGGAAAGTTAGAGGACAAAACAAACAAAAACTCAAAAACAACAACAAAAGAAAAAAAAAAATTTTAACCCATCAAGGTCTTCCTCTCCCTCCCTCTGTTGTCACATCCTTCTTTCCCATTCATTTTCTGTCCTCCCTATCTGTCTCTTTAATCTCCCCGGCTGTTCTTTATCTGCCCACTCTGTCCCTCCCTCTGTTTGCAGCCAGCATATTGATTGCCCATGTCTTTGCCTCTGCAGCTCCTGCCTATTGATCCCTGGCTAAGACACACACTCACCAACCAACACCATTACACATACACAAACACACAAAAACTTCCATGCACATACAAAGATGTCCTCTTCCAATCAAAAATCACAGTGGATTAATGCAGAGCAACTTTGCTATGCTTAACTCATGAACACACATGTACTTATGTGCACAAACACACACAAGAACACACTGCAGGTCAGTTTTTTATTTATTTACTTACTCATTTTGCATACACCCTCTGCTGTGCTGAATAGACTTGGCATTGATGGACGTTATGCTTTTGTACTCCTCTCTCGACTCATTAAAGTGAATGAGACCTGTGTGTATATATGTGTGTATATAAGTGTGTGTGTATGTGTGTGTGCCCCGTAGCTGCTGCAGGTCTGAGCCCAGCTCTTTTCTGTATCTGTATATCTCCCTCTCTTTCTCTCTTTGACTGGGCCTGCAGGCTTCTCCATCCAGGGAACCTGGTCAATATGGCCATTCTGTCTAGCAATTAACATCGATCAGCACTCGTCAATACTGTCAGCACCCAGACAAAGACCCAGGGTGCATTGCGTGTGCTTGCCCTTTTTCTATCACAGTCCAACAAATCCCCAAACAGCACTCTCATTATATGAGGGCATTCTGGCCTGACCCCAAGGTCACCAGAAAGGAGAGGCATGGTGTGCTGGACTCTACTTGATAGGTGACTTGGGTGCAACCTTATGCACGGCTCAGAGCGTCCTGAGCGGCGGGCCATTAGTTGACTCATTATGACAGTTGTTTGTGTGTGCGTGTGCATGTGTGTGTGTGTGTGTGTGAATGGCGAGGTTGAGCTATTCCTTAGGTTGGATGTATCGTCAAAGAAAAGTTGGCAGAGAGGCAACATTTTCCCCCTGCCGTGCACCATAAAGTGTTAGACACAGTGAAAACTTTGAAGAGTATAAATGCAATCCATCATCCTGGTGACAGAAAGCAGATTTGAAGTTCTTAGATGTGTCAAGTGCATTGGATTGTGTCCAATTAGCTTTGTCTATGAGCAGTACGGGGTATAAAGTATGTTTGGAAGAGAGAGCAGATCTCTGGAGGGAGAATGAGGCTTGTGGCTTTGATTAATACCTGCAGACATGGACCTTAAACTTCACATCAGATGTTGAGATGTCAGCCTAACATTGGTTTCTGGGATAGATATCCATACTCTGTTAATCACGGGCCAAGTTTAAACTGTTCCCCAATGTGTAAATGTATGAGACACTTAATAAAGGCGCTTTGATGACAAGGGGGCCCTTGCAAAGTCGAGGAATGTGTGCAGCGCTGGGCTTTGAAATGAGAACCTGTTTGCCACTTGTCCGCGTCTGCAAGATGAGAGAATCGACAG